ATATGGCATCCTTTGGCGTCAGTGCATGCAAATCATAACACTGAATCCTAAATTTAATTTCCCATAAGTCCATATGAAGATTTCTGGGCATTCAAACTATTGTGCTTCTTAAAATAATCCTTAAATCCCTACAGTGAGTAGGAGGTGAGAAGTTCTAAAATGTTCCTACTTGCTTGCTGGATTTACTCCTGCTATACTATTTAACCTCAATAGCTTCAATACATGCTAACAGATTTGGATTCACTTGTTGTTAAAGTAGATATGCCTATGTAGCAGGACAGGGGAGGATTAGGCTCTAAATTCAGAGGCAAGTTAAATATACATAAGATGCTATACCACTGCCTATCCACCTCAGATATTATTTTGTAAGGAGTGTGGCTTAATCAGGACAAGAAGTGAAACTGTCTACTAATTCTATTGGTTCTATTCACTGAAGGAACTTCTCCTTCAGCCTAAAATATTTATTGACTTAGGGACTATATAATAATTTGTTCAGAGCTGGTTACTCATGAACTATGTGGTATCAGTAAATTAATTTCAATACAAAGGTACGTTCGACAGATTATAATGGATGTATACAGAGGAAGTAAAAATATGATTCTGGTGTTATCTACAAATTGCACCAAAGGATGGTTGGGGTGATGCCCTGAACGCAATCAACTACTAGAACAGTTTCCAACATGGTCCTGCTCTGAATCCTCCACCCTCATGTCCTGGTTCTGTATCAGCATCATCAACATTCCAGACTCCATGATTCTAATTTGCCAAAAAGTCAAAAGCACAGTGTTAGCAACCAAAGCAACAAAGCTCTGGCTTCATCAATTGGATCACAAGGTCCCAGTCGGACTAGAATCTCTACTCTGAGCAAAGATCCACCCCTACAACCTCCCAAGTCCCTAAAGTCCGAGAGAGGCTATTTCACTTCACATTTTCAGTATATCCCAGTGAAGGAGATACCATTTGGAACACAAAACATAAATGCAATAGTTTAAGACAGAATCAAAGATTATTAGGTACATGGTAACTGAGACTGAGAGACAAGTAAATTAGAATGCACGGTAAGTACTAATGGTAAGAGACAACCCTAGTTAGGAGCCAAAAAAAAAAAAATTACTATGGATCCGGATCCATTTCCGCACCACACAGCACAACTTACTTGGAAAATTTTACTTTTTATAAAAAAGGAACAGTACAACTCTCCTGTCTAGAATGAACATTTACTTTCTGATCCTTTTATTTTGACCTGAAAAACTTGTATTCTCAGCACATTAAAGACAATCATATTCAGGGAATTATTTTTATGACAAACATTGCTAAAATGTTTATGGTAACAAATGTAATTTAAAAGTAAGACTATTTGTTCTGCTTATTTTGAAGAAAATTGATAGGATATCCAAGAGAAATTTAAATTTATTCAGTTTTTACTTGGTTAATATTTGGCCAAAATTCTAAAACATCTATCATATATAAAAACATAAACATTTTAATCTAACCCAACATTCATGTAACAATGACTTTAAAGAACTTCTGGGGAAGAAGCTCTAATGATTAAGATTTACCTGCAAAACCTCCTGGTTTCCACTAATAAACTGCAGCAGATTCAAAATTTTACTTTTTATTTTTCATTTTTTTTCAGATACAACCCGTGGAAGTAAAATCTACTTACTATTCACTATTGTAGGAGCTCTGGTAGCATAGTGCCTAAGGCACTTGACTGCTAACCAGAAGGCTGATTGTTCAAACCCACCAGTCACTCCTCGGAAGAAAGGTTGGGCAATCTACTTCTGTAGTGATACTGCCTTGGCAACCCAAGGAGGGGTCGCTATGAATCGGGGCCGACTCGACGGCACATAACAACAACAACAACAACAACATCCACTACTGTGTTAAACATAATCTCTTTCAAATCTTGAGGGATGCCTTTTGATTTTTACAGTTTTAAAACTGTTCTATATAAACAATTTGAATGCATATAACCATAGAATGTTCCTTTCCTTGCTGTAAATATTCAAAGACTTGACAACTTTCAGGCATGAAACATTGACTGCTCTACTTTCATCCATGACCTGTTAGTCTATTCACATGAGCACAGAAGTTTAAACTGTCATTTCTGAAAAACAAAATTAGCAAGTGAATAATCATTGTAGAAAAAAAATGGGATACCAATAGCTACCTCATTGGCCTATTAAGGTGGATTAAAGGAGCTTACAATTGTGAAAATGCTTGAGAAACTAGAAAGTGGTACAGAACATGGACTGTAAACCCCACAAAGGCAGGGACAGTCATCTGTTTCGCTCACTGATTATCCCAATGGCCTACAACAGAGCTTGACACATGGGAGATGCTCAGTAAGTATTTGGTGAATGAATAAAATATATATTAATAGTGGATAGCAAGATTATGAAGCAGAAATGTATGTTAGGTGCCGTCAAGCCGTCTACTACTCATAGCGACCCTACACACAGCAGAACAAAACACTGCCCAGTCCTGTGCCAGCTCCATGATCCTTGCTATACTTGAGCCCATCGCCACAGCCACTGTGTCAATCCATCTTGTTGAGGGTCTCCATATGCTAGCATAAATCTCCGTATTAAATGATGCTGTATTTTACTAGTGCATTAAAAAATAACTTGTTCATGGGTCTGGGGTTTTCTTATATATCTTATTCACATTTAGACTGGTGTAGTCAATGTATTACGGTTGAAGGAAAATGGGTATTCAGTAGGCTAAAATTATTAAAAAGCACATTTTGTGATTCAAAGCCAAGTTAGTCTATAAAGAATCTGAACTGGTTGTTCATTGACCATTTAGATAGAGATGTGCAATCATTCTGAAAGCAGTAACTTTTCTATCTCTTTTATGCTCTCTGTAGAACAGCAATCACTATTTCATCCTCATCTAATTTTCAGGTGATAGTTAAAATTGCTGACACTCATTATAACTTCATAATTCTATATCATATAAAAGAATTTGGTACTTCAAGACTCTATCATATGAATAACACTGGAGCAATGTTCAGAAAATGACATTCTTTGTCAAATTACAAAAATAAATGAATGTAATGTTTTTACACAGAATATTTGTTGGCACAAAATTTATGAGATTTTAATACTCTGTAGCTATTTTTCTAGTTTAAGAAATAAAATGCAGTCCTTACAAGAATAATCTTAGTGAAAAGGTTATTTGCAAAAATGAAAATTAAACAGGAGAACATCAAATCTTCAATGAGGATTGAATTAAATATTTAGACAATATATGCTTAAACTATAAGAATATTTCAAAGGGAAATATAAATTCTTAACCTGCTTAATTATTCCAATATATCATCTTTGTATTTGGACACATTAATAAGGAAATTAATATTAACATGCTCTTGAAAATAAGACTGTAGTTAGCAAGCCCTTTACCCATTAACTACAGTATTTTGAATGAAATAAGAGTTATGTGAAATTATTTCAAGGGTTAATGAATTATCTACATTTGATTTGTATTTAGATTTTTTAATATTTAATCCATAAAATCTTTAAAAACGTAAAATTTAAGTAACTTTTCAATGGTGAGTAGTCATTCATAATCAGGAACAATTTAAAAATTCTTGAAAAATAACTTCTACAGAGATAATGCTAAGTCACCAAACGTTATGCAAATTACCAAATGATCTTAAAAACGTTATTTTTAAAAGACATTATTTGCTAATTCTTCTCCACGTGACCACTCTTTATACATTTGTAATTTGCCTAATACTTTCCAATGAAGCGACTGGTCTAAATTTCCAAGGCATGAAAACTCTCCCTTCACTGTATTTTCTCCTCTCCCAGTGTGCACAAGGCTTTCTAGAATTTACATTTTACACTATGTGAATGAGACTCGTGCTCCTATAATTAGATTATATTTGTTCCATTATGTTACCAACCATTTTAAAATAAAAGACCAAGGCAGGTTCTAAGCCTGACAACTTCTATAAAACCATTAGTAATAAATTTGATCTGGCAGTTTGCTGAGACAATGGAATCTGCTGAAAATGCATCTATTAGTTGGTTTTTGGTAGTCATTCTGGTCTACCTAGCCCGTCGGGGTTAAGAGGATGAGTTAAGACCGTCTAAAGATGCGGGGTGGGGGGGTGCAGAATTAACCCAACTGGATCTCAATTCTGAGTGTCTAAAAGGCTCTGCCCTTTTATCATCGCAACTTCTCCCTCAGCTTTGGCTAATAATTGACTAAAATGTCTGCGTCCTTCTCAGTCCCTCTGGTTAGGTTTTATGAAGTAATCAAAACAAATACAGCCCTCCTTTTGGTAAATCTCCGCTTATTTTAAATCCTCTTAGTGAACTTCCAATTCCAGTTGCCAATTCAGCTGTTTCAGCTCATTACAAAGAAAGTCTGCCTTGACTTCTTTGCACCTTAAACTCTCTAAAATGGAAGCATGGAGAAAGCCAAGACTTTGCGCAACTCTCCTTCCACGATCTGTGGGCGCGTTGTTGAAAGGCCCCAACTGTCTAAACAGTTTGAGAGGCGAAAGCCCTAAAAGTGGGCTGCGCGAAGCTCTCCCAGCTAAGAACTTTCCAGGGAGCCGGTGCCGCATGGCCTTCGAGGCAGAAGCGGTCGCGCTAGAAACGCTGAACTTGGGGAACCCTGTGAAACTGGCCCACGGATCTCAGGTCTGGGACTGCTCCTTCCAGATACAAATGGGTGTCTCTAGGGTTTCCCCATGAAGACCAGAAAGTCAAGCTCGCCTTAATGTTTGTTGAAAGAAAGGGACAGGCAGGAACCTGGTGCTACAGGAAAGGAAAGAAAGATCCCAAGAATTAGTGATCTCCTCCTTCGTCTCGACTGGCATCTCCACTAAAAGTTGAGACGCTCTAGGAAGGTGCCAGGTACGGAATCCTGCGCACAGGAACCTTCGCACCCTCAGTGCATTTCGCGCAGGTGGCGAGCCTAGTCCTCGGGGCCGGCCGACCGAAGGCTGCCAGGTGCTCAGGGCAGACAGGGAGCTGGCTCACCTGGGGCTGAAGGCTGGAAAGTACAGTCTCGGTCTCCCGGAGCCCGGCCCGACAGCCTCGTGCCGTCTGCGGAGGGACTGAGGACTTGGAAAGCCCACCGCGTGCCGTAGAGCGCCCCGGCAGGGCTGACTTGTTCGGCTGCAGGGCACAACTTGAGGGGAACAGGGCTGGCGGGCAGGGGTCGGATCTGCGCGGCGGTGGCGGCGGCTACGGCGATTGCTGGACCGTGGGAGAGGGGCGGCTGAAGCCCGGGCGGCGGGGCGCCCCCGGCCCTCAACAAGTTCTCGATCAGGAAACTCTTGCCCAGGTTGCCAAACCCTGGCGCTGCCGGGAGGTTCAGGAGCGCGGAGGAAGCCACCATGTCCCAGTACGCGCCGCCATGGGCGGCCACTGCGCTGGGGAGCATAGTGCAGCGCTGGGAGCCTGCTGCGCGCCCGCCTCTTGCTCTTGCTCCTCGCAACAGGCCAGGCGCAGCCGTCTCACGCCGCCGTCTCCTGCAGGGCTTAGCGCGTGCTGAGCCGGGAAGGGAGGAGAGAGGACAGAGGACGCCGAGAGGCTTGGGACGATATTATTTATTTCTGTGGGGCGTTTTTTTTTTTTTTTTAGGGATGGGAGGAGTGAGAGTGGGAGGGGGAAACTGTGCACTGTGCGTTTCCCTGGCCGGAGGCGTAAGCGCTGGAGGCGCCTGGGGAGTCTCTCCAGCTCTTTTGCAGATCTGGACGGGTTTTTTGTTTTTTGTTTTTTTTCCCCTAGGAGACTGGAAGGTGTGTCCAACCCATCTATTCATGTCACCAGGCCCACAAAGTGGTAGACGCGACTAACAATGAATGCAGCCCGGACAGTCCATGCTTTGGCAAGGGGAGGGGACTCGTAGCGGTAGGAGGTGTGTGTGGAGGCGATGTGAACTGGGCGCTGTCGCCCCCTCCCAGTGTTGGTGCTGAACCGTGGCCTTCGCCCCAAACTCCTTTCCGACGGGCGGCGATTGGGAGAGCGCCGGCTGGGCACCCGTGGCTCTCGCGTGCTGGTGTGTCACTCCTTCAGGAGTCGACGGAAGTCAAAGAGAAGTAAACCGAGTCTCTAGTGGCTTGAAGGGTTGTTATCAACAGGGAAAGTCCCAAGCGCTGCCGAGACTGTTATGGTTGTACCAATGAAAAGTTACCGTTTAAAGAGTAGGTTGTTTGCATATTAAACGAGGCCTCTACTTTCCAAGAGAAAAAGGAAATGTTTTTCTTGGAGATGTCTTAAGACATCCAGTGATTTATTTCAGTCACCTTTTAAGAAGGTTTATTTTAGGAATCTGGAAAGGTGCCTACAACTCGTTCACTCCAAAAGAGATGACCTAATGTAATAGATTTTGATCTAGAGAAGGGGGATCTTGGATTTGGATAAATGCCAAAACACAGATGATTGAGTCTAAAATCCAGGGGAAAAAAGCCACTACCAAGTCGTCTTAGCCTCTGTGGTTGAGTACTTGTCCTCAGAGAGATGGGCAGGAAAACACTGCATTACTTAGGATTACAGTTGCTCTTTTTTGTCCCCATCCCCTGGAAACTTGTATATCTTTCCATCTATCGGTTAACCCTTTGCTAAATGGAGACTGGACAGAAGAAAATGTGTGTGTGTGTGTAAGTAATTAGAAGTCCCTTTTAAAGCACGTCCTTTTAGAAACTATCAACTGAGTGTTAAAATTGGCATCTCTGTCAGTTAACACTTCCCATTGCCACTCTGTCTTCCAAATTTAGATTGATTTATTTAGATTTTAAAAAGAAGTATGCAGAGTTTGAAGTCACATGTACAGTTTCCTTTTAATCCTAAGAATAATTTGATCCCTGACTTCAGTTTACTAAATGCTGGCTGGAGTTGCCAGACTTGTGGGGAATAAGTACTTTCAAATGAAATAAATTTCCTTTTAAAAATCGCTTTTTGGTGCATTAAGGAGTCCTGGTAGTGTAGTGTGTAAGGCATTTGCCTGCTAACCAGAAGTTTGGCGGTTCAAACCCAGCAGCCCTTCAGTGGAAGAAAGATGGGGCAATCTACTTCCGTAAGGATTTACCACCTAGGAAGCCCAATATGGGAATCGCTATGAGTCAGAATCAACTCCATGGCAGTGAGTTTGTTTATGAGTTTAAGGTAGCATAGTGGTTAAACATTCAGTTGCTAACTAAAAGGTTGATGGTTCAAACCCACCAGCTGTTCTATGGGGTAAGATGAGGCAGTCTGCTTCCGTAAAGATTTACAGCCTTGGAAACCCTTTGAGGAAGTTCTACTCTGTCCTAATGGGTCGCTAATTGACTGGATGGCAGTGGACTTGGGTTTTGGTGAATTGGTTTATTTATGTGTCATTTACATTTGCTTTGAATGTCTAAAGCACTTTAAATGTATGTTATCCCCAAAGATGAACATTGTTGTTGTTGTCATGTGTGGTGGAGTTAGATCCAACTCATAGCAACCCCTCTTGGGTTTCCGAGGCAGTACCAGTGAGGAGGTAGATTGCCCAACCTTCATGTTGTTGTTGTTGTTATGTGCCTTCCAGTCAGCCCTGACTCATAGCGATCCCTATTTGGGTTTCTGAGGCAGTATCATTACAGAAGTATGATTGCCAAACCTTCCTTCCGAGGAGTGGCTGGTGGGTTTGAACCGCCAGCCTTCTGGTTAACAGTCAAGTGCCTTAGGCACTACGCTACCAGAGCTCCTGCCCAACCTTCATAGGTAATAATAATAATTTGTAATTCTTTTCTAATCTGATGTACAATTTTATCATCTGCTACTGAATGGGAGGGTAGTTTTTGTAATGCTGATGTCTACTGCAAATAACCATTAACTTACTCTTTCATTCAACAGAACTTTACTTTCATATTCATTGACCAGTTTAATGGTTCTGAGAATATTTAGGGAAGAGAGGGTCTAGTCCTTGACTCAGAGGAGTCCACAACCTAGAACAGAGAAAAACTAAAAAAAAAAAATCTAAGTAAAAAAA